ATCTGGTACTGAGCGAAGAAATTCGACGGAGAGAATCGGGTGAAGCATCAACCTTCTCAGCCTTGCACACGGAGTCCAGAGGGAGAACTTCATAAAGAAATTCAAATCATGGAAGATCGAAACCCAGACGGGGAAAATCTAGAACGGGAAAGAAAGATTTTACCTGTTATAATTGTGGCAAGAAGGGTCACTTTAAAAGAGATTGCCGAGCACTGAAGAAAAATACCGGCGCACAGGAATCTGCCAACGTGACAGAGGAGACAGGTGATGCCATGATTCTAACCGTCAACAGTCTGATTGAATCATGGATCTTGGATTCAGGGGCATCTTTCCATTCCACCCCATGCCGAGAAATCATGGAAAATTATGTCAGTGGTGATTTTGGGAAGGTTCATCTAGCTGATGATGAAACCTTGAAGATCGTCGGAAAAGGAGACATTTGACTAAAGTTGCCAAACCAGACCACCTGGACGCTGAAAGGAGTGAGAAATATTCCTGACCTCAAAAGAAATTTGATTTCTGTAGGACAGCTTGATGGTGAAGGATTTAGCACAACCTTTTTAGGCTGTGAATGGAAGATTACCAAAGGAGCACTCGTCATTGCTCGTGGTAAGAAAACTTGTACTCTCTATATAACCTCAAATTTAGAGAATATCATTGCAGTAGCAGATGCTGATGGAAAATCAAACCTATGGCACCAAAGGCTTGGCCATATGAGCGAGAAAGGGATGAAGACACTTTTGTCAAAGGGGAAACTACCGGATCTAAAGAATATAGATGTCAGACTATGCAAGGATTGCATATTTGGCAAACAAAAGAAAGTCAGTTTTGCAAAGATTGGTAAGACACCCAAGGCTGAAAAGTTAGAGTTGGTTCATACTGATGTATGGGGACCATCTCCAGTTCCATCTCTTGCAGGCTCATTATATTATGTCACCTTCATCGATGATTCTACAAGGAAGGTGTGGGTTTATTTTCTGAAGAAGAAATCAAAAGTCTTTGATACCTTCAAAAAATGGAATGCCATGGTGGAAAATGAGACTGGTCTGAAAGTCAAGCGGTTGAGGTCTGACAATGGAGGAGAGTACAGAAATAGGAGATTCAGAGATTTCTGCGCAAACAATGGGATCAAGATGGAGACAGCAGTTCTCATGACACCGCAGCAGAATGGCGTAGCAGAGCGCATGAACAGAACTCTGAATGAACGTGCCAGAAGCATGAGGATACATGCCGGATTGCCCAAATTTCTATGGGCTGAAGCTATCAACACTGCAGCTTACCTGATCAACCGTAGGCCCTCAGTTCCTTTGGATGACAGAATACCAGAGGAAGTTTGGAGCAAGAAAGAAATAAACCTTTCACACTTAAGAGTGTTTGGTTATATTTCTTATGTACACATAGACTCTGCTGAAAGAAGTAAACTTGATACTAAGTCCAACAAATGTGCCTTTGTTGGTTACGGCAGTGATGAGTTCGGTTACCAGTTTTAGGACTATGAAAATCAGAAGATCATCAGAAGCAGAGATTTCATTTTCAATGAGAATGTGATGTACATAGACAGGTCAACTGTAGAATCAAGCAGCTCTAATACCAAAGCTGAAACAAAGGAATTTGTTGAGTTTGAGGAGATTTCTGGAAATGATGTTCAGATCAGTCCTGAAGCAGTTCAAGAAGAACCAGGCACACCGGAACTAAAAATCTCCTCCAGAATTCCTAAACCAACCCAACGGTATTCTCCTTCTTTGCACTACTTGTTGCTGACTGACAATGGTGAACCATAGTTCTATGATGAAGCAATGCAAGTGGAGGATTCAGTCAAGTGGGAGTCTTCCATGAAAGATGAGATGGACTCACTTATGTCAAATCAGACGTGGGAATTAATTGAATTACCACCAGCCAAGAAAGCGCTTCACAACAAGTGGATTTACAGGATCAAAGAAGAGCACGATGGGAGCAAACGCTACAAAGCGAGATTGGTTGGCAAAGGTTTTCAGCAAAAAGAAGGTATTGACTACAATGAAATTTTCTCTCTAGTCGTGAAACTGTCTACAATCAGACTGTTGTTGAAAATTGTAGCTGCAGAGAATTTACATCTTGAGCAGTTTGATGCAAAGACAGCTTTCCTTCATGGTGATTTGGAGGAAGAAATCTATATGAGGCATCCAGAAGGCTTCATAGAGGCAGGCAAGAAAAACCTGGTATGCAAGTTGAAGAAGAGCTTGTATGGTTTAAAACAAGCTCCTAGACAGTGGTATAAGAAGTTCGATAGTTTCATGAGTAGCAGTGGTTTTACCAGATGCCAAGCAGATCATTGTTGCTACATCAAGAGGTTCGACAATAGCTTCATTATTTTATTGTTGTATGTTGATGACATGCTCGTTGCAGGCTCAGACATGCAAGAGATTATAAACTTAAAGCAAAAATTGTCAAAGCAGTTTGCTATGAAGAATTTGGGCGCTGCAAAGCAGATTCTTGGGATGAGGATCAAGAGAGACACAAAGTCGGGGACTTTGATATTATCACAGGCTGAGTACATCAACAAAGTACTCTCCAGGTTCAACATGCAAGATGCTAAACCAGTAAGTACACCTTTAGGTGTTCATTTCAGACTCTCCAAAGAATAGTCACCAAAGACGGAGGAAGAACGTGCACACATGGTGAAGGTGCCGTATGCCTCAGCAATTGGAAGTCTGATGTATGCCATGGTTTGAACCAGACCAGATATTGCTCAAGCAGTGGGAGCTGTTAGCAGGTACATGAATAATTCGGGCAAGGTACACTGGGAAGCAGTCAAATGGATCCTCAAATATCTGCGGGGTAACACAAACAAAGCACTTTGTTTCAAAGGTGGAGATACGATACTGGCAGGCTATGTAGATGCTGACTTTGCCAGAAATGTTGACATCAGAAGGAGCACTACAGGGTATGTCTATACTCTAGGAGGAACCGCAGTGAGTTGGGTTTCTCAACTATAGAAGATAGTTGCTCTCTCCATAACTGAAGCAGAATATGTCGATGTTACGGAAGCCAGTAAGGAGATGGTTTGGCTCCAAAGTTTCTTGGAAGAGTTAGGCATGAAACAAGAAAACAATGTCTTGTATTGCGACAGTCAAAGTGCTATACATCTAGCAAAGAATCCGTCTTTTCATTCCAGGACAAAGCACATACAATTGCGATATCATTTTATACGGTCTCTTCTGGAAGATGGGATTTTGAAACTTGAAAAGATCAGTGGAGCTCAAAATCCAGCAGACATGTTTACAAAGACGGTAACTACAGACAAACTGAAGTTGTGTTCAACTTCAATTGGCATGCTAGAGTAACAAGACTAGAAAAGCTGTTGCATTGATCGAGGTGTGAAGACAGATTAAAATCAGTCTTCAAGTGGGAGATTGTTGAAAGTATTAAAATGGTTTTCAAGTTTGGTAACCAACTTTGAAAAAATGGTTTTCAAAGTTTAGTAAATGTTTCTTTGAAAAATAGTTTTTCAAAGTTTGGTAGATGTTTGTTGAAAAATGATAATGGGATAATCACAATTAATCCCTAGGCTTTAGGGTATTTACAAGATTAAGTCCTTAAGTTTCAACTATAAATACCCTAGCTCGTTTAGCTTCAAAATCATCCCAAAAATCATTTCTTTCTCCCAATACTAGAGAGCTTTCTTATGAGTAGTGAGTGTTTTGTAAACACCTGTAAGTTTTCTCTCTTAGTAAAAGATCTGCAGTTGTCCGGAGACGTAAGCAAATTGGCTGAACTCCGTTATCAATTTCGGGTATTATTTTTCCGCTTTTATTTCGCATTCTCACTAATATGTTATAGGAAAATTACTTGTACTCGGTTTATTTCCTATCAAATTAAAAATGAGAGAAATTATTTTAAATATATATTTAGCATTGTTTACATTAAGTGGTAAGTAGCTCCCCACTTGCTTACTTTATTCAACATTTTTGCTTGTTTTGAATAAAGTAAAATTCATTGGAAATCTGTAATGTTGATCAGACATGCCCTTTGGTTTCAAATTTTGTAATAAATTAAAAACGAAATGCACCAAATTTGAGCTCTACTTTCAAGGGTGGCATGAGATGAAGTGGGAAACTAAGGCTTTCAAAGGTGGGATGGAATAAAGAAGAAGAATGGAAAGCCATCAATCTAGAAACAAGTGTGAGCCACACAATTCCCATCTCATTATGGAATGGTTGCCCTAATTAGTGGAGGTCAAAGTTCGTAGGAAATTTTAAAAGTGGCTTGAGAAAAATCCAACAAATCTAAGTTCTAAGTATTTCCTAGTTTAATTAGGAATTTGTCTAATTTTAAAGTTGATAAATATCTAAAAAGTATTTAAATCTGAATTTAATATGCATAATTTTAATATTAACAAAGATTTAAGAAATAACTAAATAAAAAATAGATAACGAATTAACATGTGTCTCAAAATTAGGCTTTGTCTTGAATCTGGACCGGAGTCAACTTTGGGTTTTCTTAGACTGTTGACTGAACTTGATTTGGACCTCAAAACTAAAACTAAAACTATGGAAAAGTTGTCAAATTCCATGCAGCTCATCCCTGGTGGCCTTCTTAGGTCAAGTATCACAACTTGGAGTGGAATGACCCAAATTCAAAACATAGATTACTGTCAATAACTAAATAAAAATTTACACATAATACAACCAATAACATAATTTTAGATTAATTAAAATTAAGCATATAAAATTTATCATTTTTCTTATCTTATATATGATATATAATAGCATAGGTGAATTGGAGTTATAGAATAAAAGAATACTCTTTTTTAGTTTAATTGGGTAGAATGCTGGTCTTCAAATCCAATATCGTAGGTTAAAATTTTACTGAAGATTGAAGTTGTAGAGAGAGAAAAATGCTCATTTACCGATAAAGGCAAATAAGGAACAAGCATGGCTTGAGAATTGAGATGCAACCCAATGAATGATCTTCATTTTGCTAATGCGTTTTCTTTGATATTAGATGCTGCTCTCAGGGCATTCGTTTAAACAGAAATAATTCTTAAAAATGTTAATTATGTATTATGACTACGCCTAAACAACATAAAATACATCTTTCCCCCTAAAGTTTGCATTTATACAAAGATGATAAACATCTCTTATGGCCACTCCACCTTCCAATACATGAGGTGGTTTATTAAACACAATAAAATTCAAGGCGCATAACTAAAGGAGGAATTAAGATCGATAGCAACATCAATGGCACCCCAAAGTAACTCCTTCATGACTACCCCTACAAATAACACAATAGAGCCTCACCAGCCAAGATCGCCCGACTTACCATCTACCCGCCCCCACAATGAAAACAATACTCGAAAGCCATATTTGTTTTCTTTTCCCGCATTCCGGACTCCGGTTGCAGGCAAGTAAGAATGGGGATAACACAAAAGGGAAGATACAAAAGTGTGAAAACAAGAGGATAAAAGAGATCAAGGTAGATCATCCCATTGCAGGCAAGTGAGAAAGGGGAGAGCACAAGAAAGAAGACACGACAAGTGCGGAAACAAGAAGAGAAAAGAGATCAAAAGAGATTATCAATGGAAAATCTAACTAAAAGATGTAGAAAAGTAGCTAGATCAAGGGAAAGAAAGCTAAACTGCTATCGGAAGATAAGTTGACACATGGTGCATGCAGATGAAGAGGAAAAAGGAAAAAGAACGATGAGATGTGATATGAAATAAAATACAGCACATATCATCAACTGAAAGAGAAGGGGCTTATCTTCAATTCGTCTTAGTAATTTAGCTTACTGATCTTGTTTACACTTCATTCCATGGTCACTGATAATCTTCCCACACAAAGCATCATTCTGCACCTTGAGTACTTTATTTTCGGTTCTTAATTTTGCATTTTCCTCTACTAGTTGTGGTACATCACTATTAAGATTGGCATTCTTCCTCAATGATGCATTTTCATCTTTTAACTTCTCGTTTTCGAGCCTCATTGGATCAACCTACAAAAAAAAACCTAACATGTTTAAAAATCTATAGCATCGTATTTAAGCTGTAACATTTCTGTAGGTGAGCAATTGTTATGCTTTTAAAATGAGAGAACATTCATCTGAACAAAAGTCTACCACCATATGTAATCAATAATAATCTTCAGTTTTTGGAGTTAGTACTAACAATATATGGAATTTTTACATAACATCTAGCATTAGTCTTGTAAAATTAATCAAAAAAGAAACTAGAGTTGTAAGAAAACTGTTAAGGGCACAAATGCACATAAAATAGAAATGCGAATTAACCAATATAATTATTAGCAAGTTTATGGATAACTAGTTAGAATCTATTCTTATTGAAATTCCTTAGCAAAACAATGAGATTCTGTAGGGTCTTAAGACTAAAACCACGGCATCAAGATTGAGTTTTAAATAGTAAAACTGAAACAACTGGGGAAATCATGTTCATCCGGATAGAGCAATCGTACCCGATGTCGTGATTAGTACCATTAGATTTAAAGTTTGTGTATACATATTTGAATAACATTAATGTAGGTTATTTTTTATATCAAGTTAATAGTGTTATATTTAACATTGAATGGTTATATATTTCATTGTTAGGAGAGACAATCCCGAACATAGACCATAAAATAGATATGAGAGACATTTTTTATTATTATTTTTGTTTATTTATCTCAGATAATTAAATCATTCAAAAATGCCAAGAGTATGATTTTTTATATATTTAGATTAAGAAAAACATAATTCCCTTGGTCTTTTTTTTTTTTTTTTTGATAAGAATTGCAGGCCTCGTTAAAAACCTCTTCATGATTAAAGGAGCTTATAGAGAAGCTCCTTAATCAGCGGAAGGAGGAAAAGAATGCCTTAGGATTTTATTAACCATAGAAAGGACACGATACAACCAGGAAGCCACCCCCAATATGAACAAAACACCAAAAACAGCCACCAACAATCCTACCAGAACCAGCCTAATCCAACAAAGCAACAACAACAGCCTAAAAAACAGACTGGCCAAACAAAAAACCTAAACGAGGCCCGATAGACACTCAATCAAACAAAACAACCAGAAAAAAGCCAAGGGTGACAGCTAACTAAAACCATAAAAGCCAACTTCTAACTCAAAGGCCACGGAGCTTTCACATGATAAGAAAACAAAAAAAAAAAACACGCATATAGCCGCCTTTCCACCACATCACCACGTCTTGTTGGCTAAAGACCATCCGAACTTCCAGCTCCAGACAAAAAGCATGGTGTAGATCACTTGAACCTTCTACTCCTTCCCCCGCCATCGTCTTCCGACAATAGGTACACTACTGCGCCATTAGACTTGCAACCCAAATCTTTCCCAAAAGGCAAGGAATTGATCGTATCCTTCTGTTGAGATTGCCCCAATGTTGGAAAATCAGATTCATAAGTGAATCTGCCATCAAAAACAGACACCTCTTCCTCCCAATGCACCTTACTCTGATGGCTCTTGCTTTGGGAACCCCTATACTTTCTTTTAGGAGCTGTAAAATTCCCTTGAAAAAATTGTTTAGATCTAAATTTGTTGCCAGAACCCACCTTAGGTCTCATGTACTGCCTTGCGATACCCTTTGGATTTACGAATGCGTAGTTGTAAGAACAACCCTCGTGAATCCCTTCCTCCACCTCCCTTAACTTAACCCGACCATCCAACATGGGGAAATCATTAAAATAATCCTTTGAGCCTACAAAAGCACATGCAGACTCACTATTTTTCCTAAAAGCAACTTCATTATCCCTCTCCACGTGAACCAACAAATCCACTTTATCCTTTAGGCTTACATCTTCCAATTTCTTTGACACTAAGAGACCATCCTGGATGGGAGAATTAATTAAAAAATCCTTACTCTCCACAAAACCACGTGCAGGCAAACAAGTGTCCTTAAAGACATCCACTGCTTCTCTCTCCGCATGCACCAACAATGTCTTGTGTTCCCCCACTCCCTCCATTTGGGAAAGAACCATCCTCTGACCCCCAACGTCACTCCTCGGACCCATCATCAAAGCCTCTCCTATGTTCCTGTCCTCCACACCCTCACCAGACAGAGGCTGCCTCTAGCACTAGTCCCCAAACAGCAGAAAAAATTTTCTTCATTATCAGAACACCTCATGGCCGACTGCACCTCCGAAGAGTGAATGAATCTTCCAGCTTCTTCAGAACCCTCTTCCAGCTCAGGAAACTTAACTGGAAAGGCACCAACGAGCTCCCTCACCTTGGATAACGAGGATACGACTGCCTCTTCAAAAGAAGACGACTCTACCCACTTAATAAAAATTCTGCACCATCCTAACAAGCTGTCTTTGAGAGTTGAGAATTTACTGTCGTCAACAGAACCAACAATGGGAGCCACCATATGACTAACATCATTCCTTACATTGTTTCCCTCGACTGAATAAGGACCAGAGAACTTCTTCCTCCAGAAAACATCACGAGGAAGATATCTCGCCATTTACCTTGAATCCAAGATCTATCAACACAGTTGATAGCCTTCCTCGCGTCCTCCAATCTGGTGAAACGAACAAAACCAAACCTACTTCCTCCCTTGCTTCTTTTATTGGGGATGAAAGAATCCACCACCTCGCCATATTTATCGAAAAATAACCAAAGACCTTTGTAATGAAAACTCTCTTGAATGTTGAAAATGATCACAATGACACAGTTTTTCCCAACCGGAACTCTCACCTTACTCGCCATTAAGAGAAATGATAAGGAGACCTAAACCATTCAGCCAAGTCTCCTAGAGTTTCTCCAAATTAGCTTTTGTTTTCTTAAGGCAAAAACTCTTTGTTGAAAGCTCTTGTTCAGCCAAAACTAAACAATAGAAAGCCACCATTTGATTTAGATCAAAAGATCAACTTTCAAACTAGCATTAGAGAATTGTTTAGCCTTGAGAAGGTACCAACATCCATCGGTGTCACCTGATTTGTGACATTAAATTAGCCTAACACATATAAATGGTATAAATGCGCAAATTTAAAGTTAAACCATTATTCTAATATCACTAGTAAATACTCCAACTTTAAGTTAAATTATTACTCTAATATCATTAGTACCCTATGTTTCTTAGATTTAAGAGTGTCAAATACAAATATTTCTTCAACACAAATACATTCAATTCTTTACAACTTTGTTGGACCTCTATCTCATGCTAAGTAGATATATGTTAGAAATAAATATTTCAACATAATCATGTCATGGAAAAATGGCTAGTACATGAATATAAGTACTACAAACTACAAAGGCCAATATTTGTTGCCACTACTAAAAGCAATATAGAGTATTACCATAATTTTCTTCAAGCAGAATTAAAAAAATTTGGTATTTATACAGAGAGCATAAGAAAGTGGAGACTTACTAAAAGCCCCGAAAGTGTTTGCACAAGGACATTTTGCTTCTCATACTCGTACTTAATCTGAAGAAGATCACTCCTCAATTGGTCAATCTCTTTTTCTTGATCTCTTAAAGTTTGATTCATCAGAGAATTAGCCTCTTTTAAGGATTCATTCTCTTTCATTAAAGAATCATTTTCTCCTTTGAGGTTCTCCATATTCAATTGCATTTCCATTTTGAGATTCTGTGTAGAAAGAAAGGAAAAAAGTGTTATCACTCGTAACTCAAACTACTCATCCCAACCTCCAAATCCTCATAAAGAGGAAGAGATGTTAAATCATTATGTACACTGAGAATCTATGTTTAAAATTTCCGTTTTGATCTCTCACACATATCTAAATTCTAATGCTTCTTCCTTGACCTAATTCGGGAGTAAAATGGAACGAGGGTTGGAGTAAAATGATAAATGATAACTCATGAAAGATCAGATTTTCAAATGAAAAGGCCAAAACAGAATGAGATCAGCTAGAATATTTCTAGATGGCCTCAATTTGATTAATGATTAGTTTTTTTTTCTTTTAAAACAACATTTTGGATTTGCAAACTACTATTAAGACTTGTTTATTTGCAAATTAAGTAAACAATAATTTCATATTTTGCCAGGGTTCATATTCTATTTTCAGCATTATAAAAAGGGGAATAAAATTGCATGAAATTGGACCCTTTTACTAAGGCCGAACCCAATTCTTGCAAGAGAAATGAGATCAGGAGAAGGTAAACTCACCCTACATCTTGCCCGATATGCCTGATCGATTTTCCTTTTCCTCTTAGCTAATTCTGATCCATATAAACTTGAAACATTCTGTTTCAAAACTGAACCGGTGGAAATGTCTGGAGATTGAAATGCTTGGGGAGTGCTAACATTACTGATCTGGCTTGGGACAACTCCACTGCTTATTGCAGGTTGATTTTTTCCCTGAACCCAGATGGGATACGGTAAGGATCCTGGATCCCATACTTGCAGCGACGGAGAAGCTGATCTCCAATCCTGAAAGAAAAAAGAAAGAAAAACCCTCAAACTTGATCATCTATGCAATGAAATTGAAACACAGCTTCAATTTATGTATTCTGTTCTTTTCTGAAAAAACCCAGAGTCTCAAGCCCTAGAATATCAAGTAAATCACGTGTCTGGGTGTCTGAAAATACTAATTTGAAGTTTTGAAACAAAAACAGGAGCAGGTGCGAACTAATTTGAAGGGGGGGGGGGACAAAAGATAAACAAAGACAGGTACAGAATTGAATTCATCTATTTATAGGCAGTGAAGGAAAAAAGAATATACGGGATTAAAGCTTGAAGAAGTGCTTACCTCTTCACCATCTTCAGCGCAGCTTTCGGTGGGGCGCTTCTGAGAGTGACGAGGCTCGTTTAAACCCCACGAAATCGTCTGTAACACGTCTTCCATGGATTTGGTTTAGGTTTATCAACCCAGAATAGAATAGAAGAGAAGCATTCGAAAATCGCTAAGACCATATAAATAAGTAAACAGAAAAAGAGAGTTCAACGATGAACTCCAAAGACGGTGGGCCCACCGGTCGATAGCGCGTATAGAAAATTTCATAATCGCAAAGGATCGCGCGATCTCTTTCTCCGTGTTCCGTTCAAATGGATCGCGCGAGCTTGTTTAATGTATCTTTTTCTATCGTTTACCTTTTTTTAAAAGGTAAACTACATGAATAGTCACTATTGTTTGAATAAATATTCAGTTTTATCACTAAACTTTCAAAAACTACAAATTACTCACTAATATTATCGATTTACAATAAGATGGTCACTCAACGGTAACATATGTTACTAAGATAACAGAACGCTGACGCGGATTGTTGAATTAACTGACTTGGCTGTCTAACGGCCAACGTAACATGTCAAAAACCCATCAACATTGTTTTCTTCTTCACAGTTCTATTCTCACCATTGTCATTCCTGTCAAGCTTCTCTTCTTCTTCACCGCAAATCATTATTGTTAGATTGGAATCATTTTTGGTAACTACAGAGTCGTTTAAAATATTAAAATTTAATAAATTTTAAAATTAAACTCATTAATGTTTTAAAATCTAATTAATTTTAAACCTAAATAAAAAAATTATCCAAATCAATTAAAGAAAATATAAACCCCAAATTATTTGAAAAAACTATTCTCAAAGATAAACCCAATTAATTTTATGTCAATCTCCACTCGTTTATATTCGTACGTTTGTGTTCGTTTATGTTTATTTGTTTGTGCTCGTTTATCATCTTAACGAACGAATACGAATAAGTTACATTCATTAATGAACGAACACAAACAAGAAGTTTCGTTTGTTTAGTAGTTCGCGTTCTTGTTCGTTTGAATCGTTTATAAGCCTAGTTAATAGTGTACTAACAATTATGAAAAGATATTTATTTCACTTTAGCACAGTTTACTCCGTTAAAAATTGGGAGTGAATAGAATAAAATTAGCGTGAAGAAGAGAGTTCCCTTTTGTGTTTGGGAAGCTACATTATTTACTTTGAATGCTTGATCGCCAAATGATCATTACATATGGAAGTATATCGAGCTCAAATCATCATACGAGTATTGCCTCTATTCTTTTAGTTAATATGCGGGTGAATTGGGCTATCCGAGTCGTTGGATTGTGAGAAAATATTTAGTGTAAATTGTAGCATGTAATTCTAGAATTTCTCGTTATCGGGAGGCTTTGGAGTGAAATTATTCTAGATTGAGAGGGGTTATGAGAAATATAATGACTCAAATTATATGTTAATAATTTGTATATCAGTTTCGTTTTGTTTTTAATTTCTCTCGTATTTTCAAAAAGTTTCAATTCAAAGAAAAAAAATTAATGGTGCTGATGTTTGTGTTTAATGTGCTACGAAGTTTACACATTTGGTAATTCATGTAAGTTTGTGTTTGACGAAATGTAAAGAAGCTGACGGCAAAACATAAAACGACAGCCAGGCTTTTGGTTTGTCCTTTATATAAAGAAGATAAGTTTGTGGTATTGCTGACAAGTCACAAACAAACGGGTTGTTATGTTATACGACAGCCTTAATATACGATTAAGAAAATATTCTATCGAAAATATTAATTTTTTTTAACATTTTCGATAAAGTTTTACCTAAAATATTATTTTTTACCGAAAATGTTAATTTCGCTAACTAATTTCTGATAAAATCTAATATTAACATTTTTAATAAAAAATAATATTTTAAGTAACGTTTTACCGAAAATATTAAAAAAATATTAATATTTTTGAGATCATATTTTCTTTATATTAAGGCTGCCTACCTGAGTCATCCCGACACAATCTCCTCGCCAGCATTTTGGAAAGTTTGGATACCATACTTGCGCGCGAGCCAATGTCCATACAAAATCGCGCGCTGTGCTCAGCTGAGAATAGCATATTTAAATTGCAACTTATTGAATTCGACCATTTTCCAATCACCTATAATCAATGTAGAAAAAAATCAACCAATCGTCCCCTTGTATCTCCCAACAATCTTCTTTCCTTTATATTTAATCATGAGTAAATTACATATTTAGTATCTAGAATATTAGTTTTGGTATGTATTAATATTTAAACTTTCATTTTTTTAAATTATACCTAATGTTTAGTTTTGTTTCATTTTAATACCCCTGTTAAAAACTTAACATTAACTTTTGAATTTTTTTTTGAAATTTTGGGAACTAAAATGGGCCAAAATTGATAGCTTAGGTACTAAATGTTTTTAGTAATACAAAGGATTTGCGGAAGCTCGAATAGATAACCGAAATAGTTGCAAGTGGTGAATTGACAATAAAATGTTTAGGGAGTAAGGAGAGTAAAAGATAGAGAAAATTTGGCACAATAATTTATAGTTGTTCAACTTATCAACCAAGTCTACCTCCACTACCTTAGCTCATCACTAAGGATTTTCTAACAAATTCATTAATTTGTTCTTTTTTTTTCAAGGACAAAGAGATAACCTTTACAAACTCCATATCTTTTTACTTGACTAAGATAGAACCAAAACCCCTTTACAAAAGTATAAAAGAAGTAAACAAATAAACCTCTCTAAGGTAGGTATTTACAAGAATTTAGCTCACAAGAACAAAATATTTACAAGAGAATTGGAATAAAGAGTGAAAAGCTCTTCTCTTGTGTTTGATTGCTTGGATAGGTGTTCTAACCCTTCTTCAAGTGTCCTCATATTGTATTTATATGTTGGAATGTTGTTGTGGTCGTTTCTAGCCTTTGGGAGTGTTTTGGAGCCGTTGGGGATCAATTTTCGTGCAAAATAAAACTGCCCAGAACAGAGGGTATCGATACTCCTAAAGGGAGTATCGGTTCTACCTTTGTTATTTTTAAATCAACTAGATGTTACTAGTTGTTGGGGCCTGATGGTATCGATACTATGTCTATGGTTTCGATACTAATATACAAAGTAGTATCGATACCCCTTTGGGTATTAGTACCATTTTTGCATTCTGGAATTTGAGCATTGCTGGTAGTAACAATACTACCTGGTGAGTATCGATACTTCCCTTACCTTTGGTATTGGTACCATATGAACATTATCGGTACTGTTCATGAAATATTGATACTATAAGAACAATATCGGTACTCCTTGTACGTGAAAATCATTTTGTGCTTAAATCCACTTTTAAGAACATTGAATTATTTTTGAAAACTTTGAATAAATTCAATTCAAGTCCAAAAACATTTTACCTTAATTGTTATATCAAAATATAGTTCAACAATCTCTCCTTTTTTTATATATAACAAAACATTTGAAAATTTGTTTTTGAAAAAAATCTCCCTCAATAAAATATTTAATGAAAAAGATACCAATTGTTGGAAAATAAGTGAAAATATTCAACTCCCCTTTTTCATTAAGAAATTGAATTTTTCAAACCATACTTCTCTCCCTTTTTGTTATATAAAAAAATAATTCAACTTTAAAGTTCTAAAATAACTTTGGAGAGTAAGTGTTAAATTTTATCTTAAAATCATTTGAAAAATCAAAAAGCTCCCCTTAAAAAGTGCTTTCTAAACAAAATTTGACTTTAAAAGCTTGACACTTAAACAAAATTGAATTTCAATAAAGAGTAATAGTAACACATGAAATTCAATATATCCAAGTCTAAAATACTTTATGCTATACCAAATGTTGAATTTAAGTGCATGTGCATAAAACAATCCAAAAATGTTATGTATTTGAATATATCAATTGTTAGAGAGATATCATTTATAATAAATCACTTGCATAACCATTTAAAATTAAGGTTAAAAATTTAAAATTTGTAAAATCAAAGCATTTGAAAAGTTGATATCAATTGTTAGAGAGATATAATTTGCATTAAAAATCAATTTTGACCAAAATTCATTATGATGAACTAGAAATTATGAAAAATCATTAAAACTTTAAAATGTTCATCATAAAGCAGATGAGATTTAAAAACAATGCATAATCATTTAAAATCAAAACTCATGCATGCATAAACAAAATGAGCAACCAAATATCCAAAATAAAAGCATTAAGCTTAGAGGTTACCCAATCTTTTTTTAGTGTGGTTAGAGCATCTTGATTTCTTTATTTTCATCACCATTGCTCCCACACACCTACAAGAGATATTTAAGTAGATTTTGGTATCCAAATTGCTTTGGATCCTTGAACTTTAGTTTCAATGCCCCTTGTTCCCTTAGGAACCCATACTTGTCTAATTTTAAAAGATTTTATGTTCTTTATAGGACAAATATGTTCCAAATGACCATGAAAATGACAATGTGCACATTTTGCCATTTTTTAAACATAATGAGTTGCTTTTAGAAATTAATTTTTTTTCTTTTGTTAAGCTCTCAAGCTTAACTTTCAAATCAAAATTTTATTTTTCTAAATCATTGATTTTGACTTTTGAAAGCTCTAAATCATTTTTTCAAAATTTCATTTTGATTTTCAAAATCAACTTTTGCTTTTAAAACCAAATCATTTTCAACTTTAAGTTTTGAAATTAATTTCTTATATTTGGAATTCATGGTCTCAAATTCCAAATACAACTCATTATAAGCATCTTGTAACTCATCAAAAGAATGTGAATTTAAATCATTTGAGTTAGAAGAGACCATTGAATCTTCTTCGATGGCCATGAGGCATAAGTTTGCTACTTCATCTTCATCATTGGAATCATCTTCATCACTCCAAACTGCAACAAATGCATTTTTCTTGGATGATTCCTTCTTTAGAAGGAGACATTCATACACATGCCCCATTATTTGACAATTTAACAAGATCTAATTACCCAAAGAAACCCCAAGCCAAAGCCCAAAAGTATGCTTACTTTGCTGGTTCGGCTGCCTATGCTCTTCTTGGGCCAGATTTGGTTCACCGTGGACTCACATTTTTCTTTTCATTTCTTAAATAACACTCAGTTATTTTTAAATTTTAGTGTCTTCGTTTTCATTTTTTTAATCTTATCATCTTTTATTTTTCTATATTTTAATTATTAGCAACAA